TAGCAATTCCATGATATTATTAATTATCAGATAATTGATTGCGTTATCGATGCGATAACCCAATAAGCTTGCTATGATGATCTGATAAATATGCAAATAAGGTTATCTAGCGAGAAATTCTTTTCGTAGATGTTCTCCAATGAGATAAGCACGATATTCTCCAATGAGATAAGGAAGATGTCCTCCACTGCGATAAGGACTACTCACCTACCAACCCACTCACACACTTACACGCGCACACACGCACGTGCATGCATGATACGAGATATGTGCAATTAAACCCCATTTATCAGTGACGTAGGCTAGTTCCCTTTATCGTTTATAGCCTACACAGAAATTTCATAAATATGTATTAATTCATTCATTTTTAAATTTGTTTGATATACAAAATACATAGAGCTTATTAGCCGATCGTGTTTCCAAATTAATACATATACTGAACAACAAAAGTTCCTGTGACATTGAATAAGATTTAATGCAAAGCTATGTTTTTTACCAAATCTGAAACAATTTCAGTTTGCAACAGATAAAAGAATCCTGTAAGTGTTCAAATGGTTTATTTTGCCATACTGACTTCAGAAAATGCCTGATTTCATAAAAAAAACATGAACATGCAAAAATGTCAATTTACAAATCAATAGCGTGTGTGTCCACCTCTGGTGGCGATGCAAGCAACACATCTTCGTCTCATGGAATGGACCAGGCGTCGCACAAAGTCCTTTTGGATATCTGTCCATATCTGCTGGAGTATGTTTCGAAGTTCCTGGAGTATCTGTGGAACACGTGGTTGACGTCGAAGGCGCCGATCCATCTCATACCACATGTGCTCGATTGGTGAGAGATCAGGGGAGCGAGCCGCCCATGGGATGACATTCACGTTGTTTTGTTGAAGAGAATCCTGAACAAGTCGAGCAATATGAGGCCGGGCGTTGTCATATTGAAAGGTAATGCCTGGGCCATGACGACGCCAAAACGGTAGAACAACGGTGCCGATGATCTCGTTTCGTCATCGCTGTCCATTGAGATTTCCCTCTACCACTATCAAACGGGTCCTCTGTCTTGCTGTAATCCTAAAACCCATACTATAACACTGCTGCCCCCGAACCGATCTTCTTCCATGACACAATGATTGACGTAACGTTCACCTCGACGTCGGTACACTCGATCCTGCTTCAAGCATACCAATGGCTCGCAGACGCTCATTTTCGGACAGGCGTGGCATATCGTAATGTTGAATAATTGTGTAATTTTGTTGTTTTTTCTGAGTAGTTGTTGCCAGCACGATGCTAAACGATGCATATGGAATCCCGTTAACGCACGTGTTTTTATACCCATTCTTTGGTAGTGAATTGCATGGGGCTTGCATAAAAGTCAACTTTTGCATGGAATGCATGCTTTTCTGTACCAGTTGCGTTTTTGTGACTTGATTCCATAAATGTACTACAATATTGAAAACTAAACTTTACTTGTTTGAAAAATACACTAAAATAGTGGTGTCACAGGAACTTTTGTTGTTGAGTATATGTTAATATTCCTAACATATGATGGGCAATTTAAACTCAGTGAAGAAGCTTTCGGCACCACGTGTGAAAACAATGTTTCAGTGAAGCACCCAATTTATCATGTAGTGACAAATAACTTGCAGTCAGCAACACATTGGGAACCCGTATCTACGCATAACTGTGAGTGTCAGTCAACAGTGTTTAGAGGAAAGAAGGCAGTGTATCGATGCATGGAGCTTGAAAGTTGTTCCTGCGTGACCGCCTCATTTGCATATTTATCTTATCGTGGTAACAAGTTTATCACTATTATAACACTAGCGATTATATAATGAATACAGTTACCAGGAAAGTTTCGTTTGGTTGACTTCCTCTTGCATTGACGTTTCGCCTTCACTTCAAACCCAACATGGCGGCCTCCTGTGGGTTGTGTTGTGCATTACTGGGAGTAGCTTGCTGTGTGTGTCTTGTTCTGAGTCAGTATGTTTAACGATGTAATTGTTTGCTCAGATGGTCAATATACCTTGATAAACATATCAGACAACAACCGCAACCCCACTGCACGTTGCCATCAATAATTTCAATCGTATATGCCATAAACAGAGATTGTTAGTGGCGTGTGATGACATATCGTAAATATCACATATTTGGAATAAAATAATATCCCCAAAGTCGGCAGCGGGCATGATACATATTTGATTTTCCTCGAATAGGATATTCACGATACGGAAACACATGAAAGTAATACACTCTTTATCATAGAATGCCATTCTTAAAATAAGGGAAGTTTAACACATATTTGAATTCTATAAAACCATATTTAGAAACTGTGTAGGACTACAATACCTGAGTGAACCGCTCCATTTAAGATACAGTATCAAATGACATGCAGTAATGTTGGTTTACATCAGCTCACACCAAAATGTACTTTTGTGGAAATTATGTAAAGCCTTTTTACCAAGTTAGAGTTGTATAGATATATTGAAAGTAGTTCCTCCTGTGAGTCTGTGGTGGCCATAATACAAACTTCACATTCCTCGGATTTGATATTTACCATACGGAAACACACGAAGGTAATACAGTCTTTTTGATTTAATATCATTTTAAAAATAACCGGAGATAAAGACATATTTGCATACACTAAAGTAAATTTGGAAATTGTGTAGGAATATCTGAGTGAAACGCCCCATTTATGATACAGAACCAAATGACATGCAGTCATGTTGGCTTACATAAGCACTCACCAAAGTTACCTTTGAGGAATACGGTATGAAACCTTATGACAAAGTTGACATCACATCTTTGTAGAAATCTTTTATAAGTAGTTCCGCCTAGATGACGTCATTTGCATATTTATCGGATGGTGATACCAAGTTCATATGAGGGGTTCATCGCATTCATAACACTTGCACTCAATATCCGATCTGGGGACACCAGAAATGGGGTTCACACATTGTACCCATGTGGGGAATCAAACCCGGGTCTTCAGCGTGACGAGCAAGCGCCTTAACTACAGGCTCCCCTAACGCCCAAGCCGTTATATGAACACTATAGCACATTCTGATGGGACCGCTGAGGTACAGAGTAATTTGACAAACAATACCATACAGACATCTGTGATATAGACACCATCGTCATTCTGGGAAGACTTGCTTCTCAGTATCACACGCTTCTACGACTATTGAGGATCGGGTCGTGATGTATGACACCACATGTTTGCCTGTGCCAGACTCGATTATTTACAAACGCGCTGATGTAACTGTGCTAATTGTACTCGAAATATAAAGAAAATAGTTTGGGAATTAGGGGATATAATATTCGAATGATATTCTTCAATGTGCTTTTTGGCAGGATTGTGAAGGATGGTTCAATGTTGGGATCTGGCTCTCGCACGTCAAAAGTGTGTTAACCATTCTTGAAACCCAATTCCATTTCAATTCATGGTAGGATACATCAAGTATTTTCATAACTCTTTTATTGTATATATATAATATAATTGGCATTGAGATTCAGTGAACAGGTTTATTTATAAGGATCATACTCATGAACTTGCTAAAAAATACTTTTGATATACAAATCTGCAGGTCAAAAGAAATTGTACCACTTAAAAATGAATTTGCAAAAATGAAAAAAAAAACACAAGTGCAAACTAAATCAGTGCAATACACATCGTCCAAACAGGACAATGCTCCATGCAGAAATTGATACACGTCCACGGCACGCTGCAATACACGTGCATTAAGGGTAGATAAATGACATGGAAGGCATGTCAGACACTCACACTGATGAACAAAACACCACAGAAATGACACGACAGACACCCGAACAACGCGAGCGTGCCCTGAGTATAATAATATGGTTAGTCGACAGACAGTGGCCAGGCGACTCAGGGATCAAGGCATTTGTGCTTGGAGACCTTAAAAAGCGCAACATCGTTGTCATAATTTGAGATGGGGCCTGGACTGTACTTCGTTGTCATTTGCCTGGTGACTGTCATTCGGCTTCAGCCAAATCTCCTTGTTATGTGGTCACGCGTGACTCCTTAAAGCACCAACGTCTTGTTCACCCTGTGTTGTACCGGTAATAGCAGCATGTTATTTGTCACCCTCCAGCAGTTTGGGTGTGAATGAACAGTATATCATTTCTTTTATATCCATATCTTTCGAGGCTGGCGTACTGCAAGTGCAGCAAAAGATTCACTTCAAACTTAAGTTCTGGCTACTGCAGCACAATATTGAAAACCAAACTTTACTTGTTTGAAAAATACACTAAAATATTGGTGTCACAGGAACTTTAGTTGTTGAGTATACATGTTAGGAAGTACCTAAGCTAATAGAAGTACCAATGATCACACCCCACCAACTAGCAAAACATGCTTGTTGTGAGAGGCGACTGACGGGATCGAGTGGTCGTTTCATTGATCGATGTTCATAACGTCAATCCCTGGATTGTCTGATTGAGGTGTTAATACAAACATATAAACTGCATTGTGAGTTGACAGTAACATTTGTACAATACATTTCACCCTCAAGAGAATCACAGTTCAACATGGCCTGAAGTAGTGTATAATATTATATAGCAGCATTTAAGACAACATGGGTCTGGCATCCGAAATGTAAGTTTCATTTAAAATATGAATGTGTTGTTCTTCTCCTTGTATGACAACATTTCATTTTTACAATTACTCTTCAAAAGCAGTATTATCATTGCTACATGAAATAGTACGGCAAATGAGTCTTTGCAACTGACAAAGAATTTCATAATATGGCATAACTGTACATTAAAACATTCCCCAATGAGCAGATAAGTTTTAATAGCAAGTATCATGAAATGAGACGTGTGAATTCCATATCCAGTGAAAATAGTTGGCGTGAAGGAGGTGGACACGATACTTCAAAAACATATATCTCTGAATCCTCTTAAAACATGTTACATGATATCGTTGTAATCGATCCCTGCCTTTTTAAAGCCTTCTCTTCTTGACGTTTATTTTGTCACCAGGTTCCTGCCCTCCAGGACAGTTCGGAGACTCCTGTAGCTATTCCTGTCACTGTGAAGGAGGGGCCGTGTGTTACTCCACCACAGGAGAATGTCCTGGGGCCTGTGCACTACAGTGGAGGGATGGGAGGAATGGCACTTGCCAAAGAGGCAAGTAATCGTATTTCGTTCCCTTTATGTCAAGCAATATTCCTGCAGTTTCAGTCCTTGGTGTCTACATATCACAACTTTTGATGTAAAGTCGAGCATGCGCTTTTAACCAAGATTTCAAAGAGCGTAATACGACTCTTGCTCAGAAGATGTTTTATAAAGGTTACAACATTCAAGCCTTGGTAAAGCTTTCAAAATGTTTTATTGTAGACATGTAGAGGACATATCGAAATATGACGCATCAGTGACAAAAATCATGTCCGATGCAATTCCCTATTTTGACTTGTCCCGTGTTTTTTTAGGTGAAAAATTTACTTGCTTTTGCATGTGTTTGTGACGGTGCCAACGGTAGGGCACGATGCCCTCACCTTTTTGCGAACACCTGGCATCATCTATTTGATAGTGATTTATGAACACGTGTTCGTGATATAGCCGGAATCGTATAATCGACTGTTCTTGGCAGAGATTTCATATGTAAAATGAAGAGGGTTGTGTCGCTTTTATTTGCTGGACTTTGTTGATTTCCCCATCGCAAGGGATAAAGACATCTTTATCACTATGATTCTGCTTTTAATTGTTAGTATTTATAGGAAATTGCATTAACAGTTACATGTTTATTAAAATAATTATGCAAACATATATATACTGAACGGACTTTTATTATTCAAAATTGTATATTGTCAAAATGATGTCAGCTATGATATAATACTCCATGCATGCATTGCCTTGTGAGTGAGTGAGTGAGTTTGGTTTTACGCCGCTTTAAGCAATATGCCAGCAATATCACGGCGGGGGACACCAGAAATGGGCTTCACACATTGTACCCATGTCGGGAATCGAACCCGGGTCTTCGGCGTGACGAGCGAACGCTTTAACCACTAGGCTACCCGACCGCCCCGCATTGCCTTGTGAGTAGACATCAACAGAAATCAGTGACTGAAACATCCGTAGAAGGATGTGGCTGACGTTACTGTGGAAGTGGTATCACAACTGAAAGTCAAATGATCAAAACCGTATTCAGCCAGTGTCTGCATCAATCAGAGCTCTGCATCGGCGTCACATTGACGTCTCATGGACGTCACCAATGACTGGATTTCTTTTTGTGGAATGTTATTCCATTCTGCAAGCAAGACAGTTTCAAGTTCTGACGTCTGGTTAGACTGCAGGAAGTCACGTGTGATGCGCGCTGTGTGACTAGTGGCATTGTCATGCTGAAACGTCATGGTGGCGTTTGCGTTGATGTAAGGGACATCATGCTAAGCAGGAAGCTCGTCCTTGTAGCGCATCACATTCAGATTTCTACAAATAGGAACAAGAGCTGTGCGATGACTGTGTGCAATTCCAGCCCAAACCATTACAGATCCAGCTCCTCCAAAACGATCTCTCTCAAGAACACCAGCGTCAGCATAACGCTCATTCCTCCGTCTGTACACCCGATGTCGACCGTCACCTCTGGAGAGTGAAAAACAGGATTTGTCACTACAGAGGACTACCTGCCATTCACGTCAACGCAGACGTGTACGAGCCCACTCTCAACCTTGACGTCGATGACGTTGATGTAAGAACTTGCCCAACGTATGGCCTCCTGGCTCTCAGGCCATATTATCGTAGCCGATTGCGAACAGTTTGAGCACTGATTCTGTTGTTATGAGTTCCTTGAGTGATCTGCGCAGTGACAGTTGCTGGGAAGAAAAGGATTGCGTAAATGTAACGTCACAATATAGTGGTCTTGAGCTAGTGTTGTTACAGGTGGACGTCCATTTCTCGGACGATCATTGGTTACTCCAGTTGCATTGTTACGCTCCCTCAGACGTCGCACTGACCAACTTGTAATGCAACGTCTGCAGCACACATATCTGCGTGCAACATTCCGATGGCTCTGACATATTATTGGGGATTCTTGGCATTTGTTTTAAAGGCAAAGAATGTGTTTACAGTGTTTTCTCGTGTCTTCTAACAATTGCCGTCAATGACAACTCGTCACCCTAACATTCACGCAAAAGACATGTTTCTTGTGCGATGCACGTGCGTTTTGCATGTTTTTAGGCTTTGAACAATTGATAATGTTCAGTTAACTGTGCGGGTTTGATACCCGAACGCGCTTGTCTTATCTATCAACTAAGTTATTGCAGACAAATATAAGAAATATAGTTGAGTTAATTTAAAAATCGGAAGTTTCGTTTTCGGTCCAGTATATAATTAGTAGAATGGAGTTATTAACATTAACATTTTCAGTGGATGTAACCTCAAAAAGTGTGGTCGAGGTAGCATAAATACTTGTCCCCCGGCAGGAAACATCATTCAAAGTAGTTCTCATTCTGGCCATAGTTTAAATCGTAGTATCCTTTTTTATTATAAATGCATAAAAGGCAAAATAGTGGAGCAAATTATATGCATGGTGAGGCAGATAGTATGAATGAATCACTGAAAATAAGTGATAACTGCAGGTCCTCGTGAAAAGCTCATAAAAGCAACATGCTCTTGCCAGTCCATTCTTGGACCGAGTTTCCTGTAAAGACTTATGATCGGACCTGTACATTTATAATTATTTTACTTATGACATAGACGAATTTAGGAATATTCATTTCTTGAGTTATAGGGTGTATTGACTTCAAATGAATAAGTAGATAGGAGGGAGCGACGTAGTTAATTCACAGCCTTGGTCATAACCAGTGTTAATATGTGTATTGCAGTAATGTGTATTGCTTCTTAAGCTTGGAGATAATGTAGTGAGAAGGAGAAATAATATTAAATTTGTTCATATTTTACGTTCTTGTGTTATTCCAAATTCATATGTTTAGAATTTGGATTCGAACACGATACAATGTTTCCAAATCATGTTATCCCAATCGTCGAAATTGGTCAGACATGAATGCATCTGAAAATCTGAATCCAAGGTAAGACCACACGAAACACGTATCGTCCACCAACGTCTTGCATTGGCCAGCTTGCTCTATTGCCATCTCGTCAATTGAACATCAAACCCTCCAGCAAATAGACGTGGCATCGTACAGGCGTTCAGGTTAGAGTAGAGCCGAATACCGAATGGCGTAATCTGACGTCTAGCCAACTCTGCAAGACGACGTATCCTGGCGTGTCTTTACAAACGCAAATTTGACTGATTATTTCAATTCCATCCAGTTCATAGTGGCTTTAATCCAAACCACAGCGTGTTTACAGTGACTGCAGTCTGACAACATACCCCTATGCCCTTGTTGTCATCTTGGGCCCTAAATTTTTTCCACCATTACAACTTTGTATCACTACTGTCTGTGTTCATATTTCCACATTACAAACGCTACATTTGGAAAATCGTCTTGGACTCTGTTTGTCAATGCATTTGTCTATAGTTTGGTATTTTGTCTGTTGCCACTCAGTGTACACAAAAACAAATGTGTGGTAACTGACATAAAGTCGAGTGTTTACTGGTTATTTTCTATCATCCTAAAAACCTCTTACACTCGAATAAGTGCGTTTCAAGATAAAATGAAAGTGTTTAAATCATAAAGCCAGTGTTTGAACTTCACAATTGGTGCAGTTTTACGACAGGTGTTTGGAGACTTCAAAATGGCTGAATGTCAGAATCGTCCTTAGGTTGGACCGTACGATTGCTGCCTAATTCTTTTAAGAGAACAATTTCAACAAAGAGCATTTAGGGTTTTAATATTTCCCATATTCTCTTCCCATACTAGTAATAAGTGTTGAAGATACGTTCTACGAGTAATGTAGCCTATCTGTATCCATGGGAGTCTATTAGACGTTACGCAACCCATACTACGGAATAATAACTGTTCACAAGCGATGAGTGAGTGAGTATGTTCGGTTTTACGCTTCTTTTAGCAATATCCCAGAAATGTCATGGGGCTGTACACATTGTACGAATGTAGGGAATCGAACACGGAATTTCGGCGTGACGAGCAAAAGCTTTAGTCACTAGACTACCCCATCGCCCTTGTTCACATGTAAGTTTCCTATCATATTAAATTCTACCATAACAGCGATAAAACAATACCCAACTAAATTATATGCAAGCTAAGAGCATCAATTATGGACAACTCAAAGTATCACGTATTAAGACCAATATACAAGTAAATAGTATTTAACACAAGTATGACTTTGTTGCTATTGCATTTCATATATATTTCAATTTGACAAATATTTTCTTGAAATATTATATGAAAACGGAAATTGACATGAGTCTTTGACACAATGTTGAGGGGATTGTATCTAATCTAACAACACTTCTTAAATTCACGTGCTCGATTGAGTTTGAGTAACATATATCAACATGTCCTTCCTACAGAGAACGTGGCCTTCAACAAGACAGCCACCTCTACATCCGGAATACTTGATGGTTACAACTGGACTCCAGACAAGGCTGTGGACGGGGACAGGAACCAGCACATCTCTGATGGCTCCTGCTTCTACTCTGCCAACTACCCGAGTATGTGGAGGGTGGACCTGGGACGGCAGTACAGGATACATCATGTTACAGTCTACCACAGGACGATGGAAGCCGGATATAACTGTACGTTGCATGTTTATGCTAGATTTGAATCTGCTGACGTATTGTAATACATTAAATAGATCAGTGTCTATATTCTTAGTCAAAGTGATATCCTTATATAATTCTTTTATTCATTGACCTGACATGTTTGTATTACTTCTTGGCACTGTTTAATTAACTTAAGCTCTCAAACGTTGATGTGGTAGATCCTCTATACCAAGAAGTGACAAAACTGTGTCGAAACTCAATCTCGTACTGAAATATTTATGAACTTTATAACAAAATCTCAAATGTCCCATTTCGAGTTTCACATTAGATGTTATCTGTCACTCGTCAAGACCTAATTTTGAAACATATGCCGCAATGGGGCTCGAACTTTGGGTATGACATGACGGCGTGTGTCAGTTGACCGGGCTACATTGTGTGAATTCAACTAGTTTCTCTTGGAAACGAAGTGCATACGAAGACTGGTCAAAGGGTTCTAAGCCTAACAAACACAACCAACTATTGTGAAAGTATTTTTGATTTCAGTATAATCTTCCTGCTTTTCAATACACTTCTCGTATCGATAGTGAAGCTTTTCAATTCCAGTCAGGAAGAAGGTTTCTGAAGCCACCCTGAAAAACCCATTCACGGCAGCTTTGAGGTCATTGTTGTCGTCATAGCGCTTTCCACGAAGGTTTTCTTTTAGTTAAGGAAACAGGTGAAAATTACTTGGTGCCAGGTCTGGCGGGTATGGAGGACGAGGGAGATCTTCGAGCTCACATTGTCGCACAGCAGCCGTTGCAAGTAGAGGGGTGCGAGAGTGAGTGAGTGAGTTAAGATTTAACGTCACACCGGCAGTATTTCAGCCATATCGTCACGAGAAGTACATTAATAATACATATATTAAGACTAAATAAAAACCTGTCAACGATGGACAGTACAATATCTAGAATTGAACAGATTTGATTTAGAACTAGTTGAGAATATTTAAAAGCAGAAAGTATTAGTTTACAACACAATATAAAAATGGAATTGAGATCGTCAGTCACTGAAGAGTGATCACCATAATAGAGACCATTTGGACTTACAGTACCTTTGCTTCCTGCATGGACCCCGGTAGGATGTATATCACCCTACAGTCACTGGCTATAGTTTACCAGTTAAACCTAAGATTAAAATGACGAAAATGCTGCGTTAAAAAGTCAGGCACACATAAAAATCCTTCGAATGATTTGGGACTTACATACCCTCTTAGGTGATAAATAATTTTAGGCTACTTCAACCCCCCTCGAGGGTACAGCCACTCACAATCTAAGTTTATTAATTAGCACTACGTATACCAATTAATAAAATAATACATTAAGTACATCAAAATTCATAGACAAGTTCGATTTCTTTTAAAAAGCATAATTTTAAATGAGAATTTACATCATTAAATAGGTCCTTAACTGTTTTAACACTGAAATATTTATCCCTTGTGATGAAAAACCAATGAGGGTTCATCACAAGGGATACAAAACGGAGGATCTTTACCTTTTAATAAGAACTCACTTGTGTATCTACTGTGGCCAATACGACATCATCGCATAATGACCTCTTCAAATCTGGATTGACAGCCCAAGTAGGTGTAACCGATATTTGGTTTGATTTCATTTAATTTATTTATACCTACTTGGGTGTCCCACTTCTTTTGCATCAGATCACGGATGTCCGATCTAAAACAGGTGTATAATCACTGTATGGGATAAGAAGTGGTGTCACAGATTTGTTGAGTGCTGCTTTTGCAGCAGCATCGGAGATTGTGTTACCAATGATACCAACATGGCTTGGTAACCAACAAAAGACGATGTCATATTGGCCAGTAGCAAGATCATTAATCTTTATGTTTCGTTTGGTTGTCGATATATTTAAGTGCTGTTAAATAGCATTTGCATCTGCTGTGACAATAGAGTGAGTGAGTGAGTTAAAATGTAAAGTCACATCGGCAATATCTCGTGACTTTCAAAGGTTATATATAATGAATACATGTAAACTATAAAAAACCTGTCAACAACGGACAGTAAAATAACTAGACTTACTCACAGATTATGATTTAAAACTAGCATGGAACCATAAAAATACATCACTAGACAGAACAACACCTTATAGATCGCCAGCAACTGAAGGTAGATCACCATACTAGGGCCAATGGGGACTTACAGTACTTTAGCTTCCTGCATGAAGCCTAGCAGGATTTACATCATCCCTTATTGGATTATTGCCAAATGAAAAGAACACATATTCTGTGATTAAAACCGTGGCAGTAATAAATAAACTGTGAATGGACTTACGTACCATCTCCGGGGGACAATACATTTGCGCTTCTTCAACCCCCATCGAGGTACAGCCACTAACAATCTTAGTTATCCAATTGATTCTACCAGTATTAAAAGATCATTTCTAAGTTACAAAACACAAAACATGTATCAACATTTATTCAACAGTTCTATTTCTTTAAAAAAACTAAGTATTAAATACGAGCTAATATTGTTAAAAACATCCTTTAACGATGAAACTTTGAAATACTGATCCCTTGTGATGGAAAAATCAATACATCACAATACATTCTCTCATCACAAGAGATACAGAACGGAGGATCCTCACCTTTCAATATATATTCATTTGTATATCTGATATGGCCAATACGACATCGTCGTATCATGACCTCTTCAAATCTGGACTGACAACCCAAGTAGGTGTAGCCAACAGCTGGTTTTATCTCATGTCATTTATTTATACCTACTTGGGTGTCCCACTTCTTTTGCATCAGATCTCGGATGTAACATCTAATTACAGGTTTGATATCGGTGTATGGGATAAGAAGTGGTGTCACAGATTTGTTAAGTGCTACTTTTGCAGCAGCATCGGCCATTGTGTTCCCAGTGATTCCAACATGGCTGGCTAACCAACAGAAAACGATGTCGTATTTGCCAGTAGCAAGATCTTTAAACAATCCAATAATTTCTATTAAAAATGGGGTTGTGGAAGACGTGTTTTTGATAGCCTGAAGGCAAGAAAGAGAGTCTGAAAAAATGATGAACTCTTTATGTTTAGATTGGTTGTCGATATATTTTAGTGCTGTTAAAATAGCATTTGCTTCTGCTGTGAAAATAGAACAGTTATCTGGTAACCGGGATGAGATATTCCTGGATCCAATGATGGTTGCGCTGGCAACAGCATCCTTGGATCCATCTGTAAATATAGATCTGTAAGTGTCATACATGCTTCGTAATTCATTATATTGCTGTTGATAAATTAGTTGATTTGTGTCGGATTTCTTGAATTTAGTTAATGTTAGGTCCACCTCTGGCTTCACTAACTGCTATGGTAGAGAAGTGAAAAGCCGAGTGGGGGCTATGTTTTCAAGATTGATTTGAGCAGCAGAAACATCTGATTGTATTCTTATTCCAAGTGGCGGAATAAGAGATGTCCTTTTATTATAGAGATTTTTGTAAAGAGGATTAAAAACACAGTCATATGCTGGTTTGGATTAAGTAGAACGTAATTTAGAGACATACTGCAAAGATAATTTGATGCGACGTTGTTGAAGGGATGCCTCATCGGCCTCCACATATAAATTGTGAATAGGTGAAGTTCGGAAGGCTCCAAGACAAAGCCTCAGGCCTTGGTGATGAATGGTATCTAATAATTTTAAATTGCTTCTACAAGCCCCACCATAGATGACGGAGGCGTAATCAAGTCTAGAACGGATAAGAACTCTGTATAGTTGGAGGAGGGTTTTCTGATCCCCTCCCCACTTAGAATAAGAGACAACTTTTAACAAATCTAGGGCCTTCAGACATTTATTCTTTAAGTATTTAATGTTGGGCAGAAAGGTCAAATGATGATCAAATATTATGCCTACAAATTTGGCTTCTTGTACAACTTTAATAGGAGTTTTATCTAATATTAGTTCTCGGTCTTTGTGAGAAAAAAAAACGAATGCAGTTTGTTTTAGATTTTAAGAACTTGAATACATTTATGAATTTTATTTAAAGAAAACTGCAGTTGCCTTTCAATAGTATCCATGCTTTTGCCACGACAAGAAATGTTAAAATCATCCACAAACAGCGATCCATCAATATAATCATTTAAAACTTTAGATAAATTGTTTATCTTAATACTTAACAAAGTGACAGAAAAGATTATGCTTTGTGGGACACCCTGATACTGATTATAATGATCAGACAGGGTAAAACCCATGCGGACTTGAAATTGCCTGTCAGTTAAAAACTCGGATATGAATTGAGGCAAACGGCCCCGCAATCCAAAATCATGTAAATCGTTTAAAATACCTTGTTTCAATGTAGTGTCATATGCTTTTTCGAGATCGAAAAAGATAGACACTGCATGCTTTTTATTTATTATCGCATTTTTAACAAATGATTCTAAGTGAACCAAATGATCTATCGTACCTCTGTTTTTCCAGAAGCCACATTGTATGTTAGTAATGAGATTGCTAAGTACCAAACTAGTCGATTATTTATCATGAGTTCCATCCATTCCAGCCACATTGTATGTTAGTAATGAGATTGTTGGTCTCTAAGTACCAAACTAGTCGATTATTTATCATGGGTTCCATGGTTCTGCAAACGCAGACGTCCAAATTTGATCACAAATAGTCAATTACGTTCCTAAAGATGATTCTGGTAAGTGTTTCAGGAGTTGATAATGAATGTTATCAGCTCCTGTAGCAGCTTCTTCAAGGGCTGTATGGAATTCAATAATAGAGAAAAGTTCATTATAATCTTCCCCGTTATCTGATTTTAAACTAATAGTTTTCTTTTCTTGCTGTTTTTGATAGTTTTTTAATTTAGGGTCATAGTTAGTTGAGGAAGAATGTTAGGCCAAAGTTTCAATGAGTTTGTTTGCAATATCAGATTTTTCAGTTTGTAGTACATCCCCATTTTGGAGATGGCGGATGCTGGATTTGATTTAATTTTCTGAACCTTTTTCCAAACTTTAGACATAGGCGTACGTGAATTGATTTTTGAGAC